GGTTTTTACTTTATATTGCTCATCACTGATATCTGAATATATATTTTGTGCACTTTTTCGTGTGTATGCATATGGTATTTCAAAACTGAAACCAACAAAAATAGACTAGGAAGATCCCAGCTCAGAGAAACACCAAGAATTGAATAAAGGTATTAATATGGCTACATGAAGAATGTATTAGGAGGAGTGGCTGGTCATCCTTGACAGGAAATACTTTTAATGCCCATCTCAGCACTGTATGCATAAAAAAAGGCACACACAAAAAACAGACTTCTTTTTATTTATTTGACAGAGAGAGAACATGAGCACACAAGCAGGGGGAGCAGCAGAGGGAGAGAGAGAAGCAGGCTCTCTGCTGAGCAAGGATTTCTACCAAGAGACTGGGAGTATTTCTGGTCTCCATGTCAAAGGATTAGTGAGAGATGGACATATTGGCATATTGGATGATGTTAGTTTCATGCCATTAACAGAGTTTCTATGTAAGATGTCAACTCTTCCCCATCTTCTGCCTTCTGAATTACCATAATTTGTTTCTTTTCACTCTACAATAACTGAGCACCAGAATTCATTTCCCTATCAGGTACACACACACACACACACACACACATCCTACCATACCAATGCACTGATGTGTTATAGGGGACATTGTGGTTGACTCCTCAACATCCATTTTATCTCGTATCCATCTAAACTCGTCACAACAAATCTAATATTTTAACAAACACTGGTTTTGAACTGGCCATGTGACCAAATTCAGTCCCATATACTGGGGTTGATGGGGGTGGATAACTTCTGGGAAGTATTATGTCATAGCTTCCTGTCTCTTCAAAAAAAGGACACTGGAAGATATTTTTCCTTCCTGTCTAAATATTACCATGCCTAGATGTGAGGTTTGGAATTGCTACAGACATCTTGGGACCGGTCTGGTGGGACACTGGGGATGGCAGAGAAAATAGAGGAAAAGAACCTGAACATGATGAGCGAGAGGTTCCCCATGTCTAGAACCCACCCTATTTTGATTTTCAGTCTATTTTGTAAACGGACCAAATAGTTAATGAGTAATAGCTAACTTCCAGGCACTACTATTGGCCCTGAAAATGCTGTAGTAAATAAAGACGACTGTGTCTGCCCTCATAGAACTCATATTTTTGGATAAGTGTACAAACAATAGATAAAATAACCAATTCAGTTATACTGCATGTAAGAAGCTCATAATGCTATGAAAACCATTACAGCAACTTAAGAAATACCTGGAGTGCTGCAGAGTTGGAATTTATAAAAAGTGGTCCATATAAGCTAACCTCAGAAGGTGATATTTGAGAAAAGACTTGAAGGAGCTGATGGAATGAGCTATTAAATATGTGGAGGAAGAACATTTGAAGCACAGAGAACAGCCAAAGCTAAAGTCTTCAGGTGAAGGTGTGACTAGCATAGCTCAGGTAGATATGGGGGGTCTGGTGGAAGTGCAGTTGGTTTGGGGGAAGTAACGCGGGATCAAGTCACGTACAAACTTCTAGTCCGTGTAAATACTTTGAGTTTTTTCTCTCAGTAAGATGGAGAACAATTACGGAAGAGTGGCATGATCTGACGATACCTCTGGTGCTGTGATGAGACTATACGTCAGAGACAAAGTTTTGCACGTTAAACCAATAAGGATGTTATTGCAATAATCCAAGGCTTCCAGTCAAGTGGAAGCAGAGGAAGTGACAAACTTGTTCACATTCTCAGTATATTTAGAACATGGAATCAACAGGATTTCTGGGTAGATTTAATGCCAAAACTGACCCCAATATCTTTAAGTGAGCATCTAGGCTAAGGTTAATGTTAACTGAGGTGAAGAAGAACTAAAGGAGATGAAGTGAGGGGGTGAAATAAGAATTTCTGTTTTTTTCATTGTTTAAATCAAAATGTCTATTAGATATGCCAGTGGACAGTTGGAAATAGACTCTGGCATTAAAGCTGGAGCTACACGTTGAAGAGAGAAGAGGGTAGAGATGGCATATAAAGCCAAAATACTAAATGAGATCACCAAGGGAAAGAGCGTAGGCAGAAAAGAGAAAGGGACCAAGGATCTGAGGCAGGTCAATGTCAAAAGGTCAAAAGGAAAGGAGAGCCAGGCAAAGAGATTGAGGAGGTCAGAGAACAACCAGAAAAGTATTGTCCTGGAACCCAGGTGTACTTGTGTCAATTTGGTTTGTTTCTCTAGAGAACCCTGAAAAACACACCAGGAAAGAAAGTACTTCCAGGAGGAGCGAGTGATCAAGTCTGCCCAAAATTATTGATAAGACAACTGAGGAAAACACTGTGAGATAGCCATTTGATTTAGAAATACTGATGACATTGTTAGCTTGACCAGAACAATTTCAATTTAGTAGATGGTGTATAAATTGGATTGGCATGTGATTAACACAGAATGGGAGAAGAATTGGAGACAGTTTCTCTCTGGGAGGTTTGCTATCAGGAGGAGGATGAAGGGCGTTGCAGGGAGGCCATCTGTTTTGTTTTGTTTTGTTTGTTTTTAAGATGAAAACAAATAACACCAGTTTGTAGGCTGAAAGGAATAATCTAGCAGAGGGAGGAAAAGTGATGATGATCTTACAAATGCCCTGAGATCATGGATTTGTTTTTTGGTTTAGCCAGTCTAGGTGAGAATTCCGATACTTGCAACAAAAAGAATTTTCACTAACAGAGTGAGCAATGTCTAGGCATATCTACAAATTTGCTGTTTTATGCCTATTGAGCAGGTATAATTTATAAAAGTACTCTCATTCTGGCTCACATCATAAATTTTATGTACTAGGTTGGATGACAATTTATATAGGCACATGAATTAGTCAGGAACATCAGTTCTGAAGCCATAGATTCCAACCCTGGGCCTGTCACAAGCTGTCATGATGGAAAGATTACTTAATTTCTGTGTTCAAGTTCTTCACATAAAAACAGGGCTATTAATGACACATATGTCATGGTATTGTGCTGACCAAATGAGGTAAAGCACCTACAGAGCTTACAAAAGGACTTGCCAAATATGGTAAGTATTTCATAAATGTTAGGTATTGTTAAATTTGCATGCAATTTGATGCAAATTTCCCCTTTACAGTAAAGAATGTAAACTGCTTGCACATCTGTTTTCCCTATCACACGTATAACCTTAAAGCTAATTAGTTAACATGCGACTGAAAGTGAAATCATTCACAGATGCATTTTATAGTCAGGAAACATGGAAACACAGTATTTAACTGAGATACAAAGGAAATTTAAAAATAAATGTTAATCGAAAATAGAGCTACCATACGATCCAGCAATTGCACGACTAGGTATTTACCCCAAAGATACAAATGTAGGGATCCGAAAGGGTACGTGCACCCCGATGTTTATAGCAGCAATGTCCACAATAGCCAAACTGTGGAAAGAGCCAAGATGTCCATCGACAGATGAATGGATAAAGAAGATGTGATATATATATATATATATATACATATACATACACATATACATATATACACACACACACAATGGAATATTATGCAGTCATCAAAAGGAATGAGATCTTGCCATTTGCAATGACATGGATGGAACTGGAGGGTATTATGCTGAGTGAAATAAGTCAAACAGAGAAAGACATGTATCATATGACCTCACTGATATGAGGAATTCTTAATCTCAGGAAACAAACTGAGGGTTGCTGGAGTGGGGGGTGGGGTGGGAGGGATGGGGTGACTGGGTGATAGACACTGGGGAGGGTATGTACCCTGGTAAGCGCTGTGAATTGTGCAAGACTGTTGAATCTCAGATCTGTACCTCTGAAACAAATAATGCAATATATGTTAAGAAAAAAAAAAAGAAGAAGAAGATAGCAGGAAGGGAAGAATGAAGGGGGGGAAATCGGAGGGGGAGATGAACCATGAGAGATGATGGACTCTGAAAAACAAACTGAGGGTTCTGGAGGGGAGGGGAGTGGGAGGATGGGTTAGCCTGGTGATGGGTATTAAAGAGGGCACGTTCTGCATGGAGCACTGGGTGTTGTGCACAATCAATGAATCATGGAACACTACATCTAGAACTAGTGATGTAATGTATGGTGATTAACATAACAATAAAAAAATAAAAATAAATAAATGTTTATCGATGGACTGTGTCAAGAGGCTTGGTGTTATGTGTAAATTTATGTGTTAACATGACTGAGCCAAAGGATGGCCAGATATTAGGTCAAACATTATTCTGAGTGTGTCTGTGAAGATGTTTACAGACAAGCCTAACATTTGCATAGGTAGACCGAGTAAAAAGACTGCCCTCTCTAATGTGGGTGCCCTGTATCCAATCAGTTGAAGGCTACATGGATCAAAAAGACTGACTGCTTGAGGGAACCCCCTCTTGCCTGACTGCTTGAGATGGGACATTGCTCTTCTCCTGCCTTTACACTCAAACTGGAAGATCAGAACTTCCTGAGACCTGATCTCAGCGGCTGTTGGACTGCAACTTACACCATCGCCTCTCCTGGTTCTCAGGCCTTTCGGTTTGGACTGGAACTACACCAGAGCTCTCCTGGCTCTCCACCTTGCTGGCACAGATCTTGGTCTTCCTAGACCCCATAATCATCTGAGCCAATTCATTATAATAAATCTCTCTCTGTCTAAATATATATATGTATATATATATTTATCAGGGTTTTATATATATAAATATATAACTATATGTGTATAAAACAATGTTTTATATATATGTATAAAACAATGAGGACATTTCCTGGTATATAGAACTATAAATATATATATATCTCTACATATCTACCCATGCACAAAACAGTATTATATATTTTATATATAAACAATATATATTATATAATATATAGTATATAAACACAAATATTATACTTATTTCTTATATTATATATAAATATACAAATATTATATAAAATAAATACATTTTAATATATTTTATATATAAACAATATATCTATAACAAGTTTATCTATTTCTTTTTTTTTTTTTTTTTAGCACTGGGTACTTTTATTATATAGAACTTAATAATTAACAAAATGATTTCCATTTTCCTGGCACTTTGATACGAGGACTTAATAAAAGAACAATATTAAGAAGCTCCCGCTGTGGAGAAAGAATGAGGTAAGGACTGCAGCCTCAAGGCCTGGCTGCAACTGCTACCTTCTCTCCTCATCAACATGTTCCAGAACAAGAAGCTGATACTAGGCACTCACAAAGTCTTTCCTTCAAAGATTTCAGAGCCCTTTACGAAGCTCCATCTGCGGTATCCAGCACTATTAATCCCATTTAGATGTTCTCCTCCTCATGTAACTGTGTCCCTCACTATCAACAGCTTCGTATAGGTCCTTTGTATTCTCTTGTGTTGCATGTAGATAACCAATATACGCCACGCAAAGTGAAAGGGTTATCAATCCGAAAGCCATTACAGGTTTGTTAGGTTTAATGAAGAGCTCTGGATTCACAGCTCGAAATAAAGTTGTTGTGCGGACCCCTCTGAGCCCTGGGTTTCGAAAGTCTTTCTCTTTGGGTGGTTCCTTTTTAAAGCCAGGAGATTCCGGTGCTGAAGACATCTTCTTGATTAATGATGATTTATTACCTGCCACGAGGTCACCTCCCCTGCGCGTCCTCTCAGCTCTGCCTATTTCTTATATATATATAAAACAATGGGGACATTTCCTGGTAAGATGTGTGCCATACTTAGTGCGAAGGAGTTGCAAGCTGGACCTGCCCATTCAGTCCCTGCCCTTTAGATAAAGCAGAACATTCAGTTCCAAGGATAACTTACAGGGCAACAATAGACATGCACAGTCAGGGGAATTGCAGATAAGGGCTCTGAGTTAAATTGAAATAAATTATTATGAAAAAGGGTCTGGGGGAAGCTGGGTAGCTCAGTTGGTTAAGCAGTTGACTCTTGGTTTTGGCCCAGGTCATGATCTCAGGGTCCGGGGATCGAGCCCCACGACAGGCGCCACCATCAGTGGGGAGTCTGCTTTAGGATTCTCTCTCTCCCTCTGGCCCTCCCTTCTCTCTCTCTCTAAAATAAATAAATCTTTAAAAAAGAAAAATGGTCTGATGTCAAAGACATTCTTTGAGTCTTCAGAGTCAGACTGGTTCCAACATTCCGTGATCCTAGCTGACTTCCAGAATTCTAGTTTATTAAGTGTGTGTGTGTGTGTGTGTGTGTCTGTAAAACACTTTCTTGATGAGCAATCTTGACAAGTCTTTGCAGACCACTGGGGTTAAGATCTGCCTGTATGATTTTCTGTCCTGAGAGCTAAATATATATATATATATATCGCCTATTAATTCTGTTCATCTGGAAAACTCTAATACACTTGTGAAGCCACAAGCACTTGTTGAAGTACAACCACATGATGACATGATATAACTCAGTAAAGAGGGGGCGTTATGTTCACAGGATTCAAACAATCAGGGCACAAAAGGTTTTCATAAATAATTAAGTGATGGTTATTAAAGGTTGTGGTTGGTAGAATTCTAAAACTGATCTCCCAAGATTTCCCACCATAATCTCAGATACCATGAATAAGATGAATTATCTTGTGCATATTTGTGTTCAGTTACATGGCTAAAGGGATTTTATAGGTGTAATGGAGGTTACTAAACAATTGACCTTAAATAGAGAGATTATCCAAAAGAGCCTCATCACAGGAGCTCTTTAGAGGCAGACCGTTTTCTCTGGCCAGCAGCAGAAGGGGAAGCAAGAGAGATGTGAAGCACAAGAAGGGTTTGACACACCACTGCTTGCTTGAAGATGGAGAACCACACAAGGAGAAGTACAGGCAGCCTCTAGAATCTGACAGCAGCCCCGACAACATCCTGCACCATGAGTGCTAAATTCCTCCAACCACCTGGATGAGCTGGGAAATAGCTTCCCCTCCAGAGCCTGCTGGTACGATTCCAGCCTAACTGACTCCTTGATTTCAGCCCTTTGAGACCCTAAGCAGAGAACTCACTAGATCCGTGCCACACATCTGACTCACAGCAACTGAAATAATAGATAGGGGTTGATTTAAGATGCTAAATTTGTGGCAATTTGTTGTGCAACAATAGAAAACTGGTATCAGGTATTTATGCTATTAGCATATTGAATCTGTTGTGGTTAAGGTAACTCTGTATTATCCAACTTACTGGAGAGAAGGGGACATAGTTTCTGCCCCAGCCATAACCACATGTAGCTCTAAGGTGCAAGTTAAAATAAGCACAGCCAAAGTCACAATGCAGAGAATTCTAATTCTCATGTAGTGAAGATTAATCGCAATATAGAGGCAAGAACGGACAGCTTGAATTGTCACAGTAACCATGAGGACATTTCCCGATAAGATGCGTGCCATACTTAGTGTGAAGGAGTTGCAAGCAGGAGCTGCCCATTCAGTCCCTGCCCTTTAGATAAAGCAGAACATTCAGTTCCAAGGATATCTTACAGGGCAACAACAGAAATGCACAGTCAGGGGAATTGCAGATAAGGGCTCTGAGTTAAATTGAAAAAAATTATTATGAAAAAGGTCCGGGGACACCTGGGTGGCTCAGCTGGTTAAGCAGTTGACTCTTGGTTTTGGCTCAGGTCATGATCTCAAGGTCCTGTGATTGAAAACCCACAACGGGCACCACGATCAGTGGGGAGCCTGCTTTAGGATTCTCTCTCTCCCTCTGCCCCTCCCCCCCCCTCTCTTTCTAAAATCAATAAATCTTTAAAAAAGAAAAAGGGTCAGGTGTCATGGACATTCTTTGAGGCTTTAGAGTCAGACAGACTGGCTCCAACACTCTATAATCCTAGCTGAATTCCAGAATTCTAATTTATTAAATGTGTGTGTGTGTGTGTAAAACACTTCCTTGATGAGCAATCTTGACAAATCTTTACAGACCACTGGGGTTAAGATCTGCCTCTGATTTTCGGTACTAAGACGGCTGGATCAGCTTGAATGATCCCTCTAATCCCAGAGCCTACTAAAGTGTGTGGTACATACAGATTTTGACTTTCATCCCATTGCCTAAGTTCAATAGCTTCCAGGATGAGTGTATTGCGGACCTCCTGCCTCCTAATCCGTGTTGGACTTTCTAATAATCTTTCAGTTTCCGAAATGTCCTCTCAGTGGGAGAAGTTTTGAAATTCCCCTAGGCTTTACAAATACAGAGTGATGAATATACAGAAATCACACCTGTAAAGAAATTGAACTGGAGAAATTAATTAATAAAGAGAAGACTGGTCATGTGATTACTGTTTTGGTGAAAATTATAAATTTCAGGGACATGGGATCACGTCTGTGAGTGCCCAGAGTCTAGAATTTTCAGGTACAGGCATCCACGTTCATAGTCACGAGGACTCAGTTCCCCTGATCTGACTCCTGTTCCTATTGCCTCTGTTCTTCCTCAGTCCAATTCTTTGTCTCCTCTTCCCCTTTCCCCCTCCTGCACTGCAAATGTATCCTGTGGACACTTCTAATTCACAAATTATATTCCGTTTTTGCTTGTTTTCCTGTGAGGCACTTAAGTGCCAGGACCATGATTTGTTCTTTGCACATCCGGTATGAAGCAGACTACAGGACACACGGGAGGCATTGCTGAAGGTTTGCTGAAGTCATCTATTTCATAAAGAAACACTGACAGCAAGAACACCCACTTCCAATGTGCAGGTGGTACAGATGTCTCCTACATCACTACCATATTTGTGGCTTTTGAGGATCAGGTGCCATGTAAGCCCTTCTAGAAGCTAGGAGGTATTGGAGGAATAGAAATCTGGTCCATTTGTCCATGTGCCTCTACATAGCACATAGCATACTTTTCAGCACACAATATGGCTTACAGCAACAATTCCTAGGACTTAGTCATGTATATGCGTTTCCATATCCACCACCCTGACTACAGTGTTATAAACTTGGTATTTCATGGAAAGGAAAAGCATTAGTAGCGAGAGCAAAAGTCTAAAAGTAAATAGGGTGATAACAAAGCAATGGTAGAGAATATTTTAATTTACGTTGGATGACTTTCAAAAACACAGGTATTTTTTAAAAAGATTTTATTTATTTATTTGAGAGAGAGAAAGAGAGAGAGCACGAGCACACAGGGGGAGAGAGAGAGGGAGAAGCAGCCCCCGCTGAGCAGGGAACCTGATGTGGGGCTTGATCCCAGGACTCCGGGATCACGACCTGAGCCGAAGGCAGACGCTTAACTGCGTCTGAACCACCCAGGCGCCCCTCATTCTTTTTTTAATGTCAGTATACGCTGGCCAATGCAGGCAATGGATTGTGACAGCAGTCCTAAATCTCAGCTCTGCCACTTTCTAGCCATGGGTCAGGGCCAACGTATCTATCCTTCTGGGCCTCAATGTCCTCATCTGTGAAACTGGAATAATGGTACTTATGTCATAGGAATTTTATGAAAGTCATCAGCAAAATATGCAAAATACCTGAAACATGGTAGGCCCTCAAAGAGCTTTTATGATCTCTTCTGATACAGTAGTTAAAAAACAAACAAAAAACCACGTAGGATTCCTCTATGAGGATTTGGGGAATCACATACATCAGGAAGTTCATCCAGAGCAACAAATCTAGGATACTTCTTTTGAGATGTAGGCTGCTAGAAAAAGCTATTTGATCAAAGTTAAGGTGAAGTTCAGAAACTAAGAGTCTCATTGGTATCCTCTACTAGGAGATTTACCACTGGATTTTGAGAGAACTTCTCAAAAAAACACTAATTTTCAAACTTGCCTTGAAATAGGTAACCCAAAAGAAGATGGAAAACAAGAAAAGGAAAAGCTGCCTTCCTATGAATCTCAAATTCCAGAGAATAATGCCTGGCTCAGAACCTTTGGTCATAGCTACTCTACCATGGTGCTCACTAATGTAATGGTGCATCTTTCCAGAACAGGCTGATGTTATTGGGGGGTACTCGAAGCTTTTACTGTGAAAGAAGGAAGGCAGCCATTTTCCTTTTCCCAAATTGATACCAAACATCGGTTGTATGTGCCTTGTTGTCTTTGTCTAAGGAGCCTGTGAAATGTGTGGAACAGCTTGGTGGCCCTGAGAAACCTGTTTTGCCTCTGGGGGAACTGGTCTCATGGTGCCTGGGCCCGTGGGTGCGCAGCGTCATTGACAAGTGAGCGATCTCCCCTCCTGGGGAGGTTTGATGCCTCAGTGGAAGGGAAGGGCTTCCTGCCAAAAACAGGATTCTCACACAAGGAAACCAGCTCTGCAACGAAGGACCCTCCTCAGGATCCACAATCATCAAAAGTCATGAAGGACTGGTAAATAACAATTACTCTATTCCTTCACAAGGACTCCAAACAGTCATCTTTCCTCTGCCGCAGCCAGAATCAGTGTCGAATATATCAACATTGGGCCAAAAGAACAGGGGAAAGATCTCTGGGATGAAGAGCTTCTAAAACGGTGGGAGACAGGATGAGACAGTGGAGAGCTGTTCAGTGGAAAATGGAAGGGGAAGCAGACAGGACTGCTGGGGGCAGGTTAAGCGGGGTCAGCCTACACTGCAGACTTTCTGGGGTGTTGTCATCAATGAGCCCTGAGTTTCCACCTCATGTATCTACCTACCAGCTTTCAGATCCTGGGCAATGTCCACGATGTCCTTGATCTCAATATCCTCCTCCCTTGTGAAATGGG